CCCGCCGGGTACTCCCCCCCCCGCAGGCAGGACGGCAGCCGTGGGTGCCCGACGTCGGCCTCCTCCCCGTTCAGCCAGAGCCGGTCCTCTTTGAAGTCTCTGCTGATGGCGGCAGTGGTGGTGGTTTTAAGCTGGGAGGAAGAGACATGCACGCCCACGTTTAGATTGAGCTCCGGGACTGGTGCAGAGCCCAGCCCTGCCGCAACCGACACCAGACACCATCCCCCAGGGCGGCACGAAGCCCCCACCCCTTCACCCCAGAGAGGGCTGAGGATCAAGCTGTGTTTATGGCGAGGCGGAGCAAAAGCCCAGAATCATTCTAATACATCACACCTGCTCTCCATCATGCTTGCACTGAAGAGCCCCACCATGCTAGGCCCTGTACTCAGAAAGAGCGGCAGTCCCCTGAAAAGCTGACACCAGTGGGAGAAAGAAGAGACTGGCCCAAAGTCAACAGGGGTTGGTGGCAGAAGTGGGATTAGAATCCTGGTCTGCATGCTCCCACTCCTGCACCCTCCTCCACCACCTCTTCAACGGTGGCTGCCACTCGGCTCTGCTGTACGCATGAACTGATTCTGTGCGGGGCTTACCTGGTAAAACAAAGTGGTCCCATTCTAACCTCAAGTGTGCTCCAAGTGACAGAGCTGTCCCCAGCCCCTTACAGGTTCTGCTAGGCTGACAATTGGTAAACCCCACTGCTCATCTTCCTGTGGCTCTCACAGTCACGTAGCCAGTGGTAGGCAAATACTAAAACTCCACTTAACACATGGGGAAACCAAGTCACAGAGTTGGGAAGGGGACGGCCCGAGGCCACACCCAGCAAGCCAATAGCAGATCTGGGCGTTCCAACCACCAGGCAATAGTCCCTCTGACATGACCGTTTCTAAATGGAAAGACGCCGTCCTGCCAACCATGAGACGCGCTGGCAGCTCTCACCTTTCTGAGACCGACACTGGTCGCAGCCTTCCCAGGGCTCTAGAAGGGCAGTTGAAACTAAGCGCCTATTTGGGGGGCAACAAGTCTCCCGAGACCAGGCAGCATTTCAACACAGGGACCCACCAGAGATCCCCTCAGGTCCCAGAGCGGGATGCAAAAAGTTACCAAGCAACAGTGCTGCTGCGGGGTTTCAGTTAACCCACCACAGAGCGGAGCTGCTTTGGCTGGAGTAAGGCAGCCCCTGCCCGGGTGTGTGTGGGGGAGAGGGGGGAAGAGATGTGCATGCTCCAGCCGGCTAGCAGGGGATCCTTGGGGAATGCTCTGGGCAACACACAACAGAGAGACATGCTGATTTATAGCCAATCAAACTACACTGTGGGGCCCAGAACCCCTCATTCCCAAGCCCCCTTGGGACAAAAGCGACCACCTGCCTCTTTGAGCTTTTGCCTGGTCGTTCCCAGAAGAGCAGCTGCTGCTTTCCAAGTGAAACCCTGCTCTCCCCCTCCTCCGCTAGCCGCCTCAGCTCAGACCCGCGCCCCACCGAGCAGCATCGCTGCTGGGCTGCTGCCACCCGCTCACGCCTACCTGGTCCTGGTGCAGGGTGACGCTCAGGGAGGAATTGAGGGGCAAGATCAGCTCTTCGTCCCGCTTCCCCCCTGGAAGAGAGCAGACGGGGAAGTCAGCCCCGAGGGGGAGGGGGCTTGCCCGGGAGAGGGGGGCCCCGGCCCCTCCTGGCACTAGCCGGGGGCGACTCACAGTATTTGATGACAGCGATGTTGACTGGGGCGGTGCAGGACACCACGGTGAGGGGCTTCTCCTCGGCCATGGCGGCGCAGAGCCGGGGAGGGAGCCCCAGGGCTGCACCCGGCTCCCCCTCCCCCACGCACC